GGCATCTAGATGATGAGCAGGGTTGGTGATGAGATGGGGTTAGGCCTGTGAATGGTGTGGCGGACGGATGATGGGAGGATGGGCAGAGCCAAAGTGGTGAGGAAGAGATGCTGAAAATGGGGTTGGAAAGCTTCTGTTACTGGATCAGAAAAGAGACAGAATTCTTTTCATATTTGCCTCTCTCAACTTAATTATCATTTCACTCTGCAAATGTACTTTTTGGGTCTAGATAGCTTGGAGATAATTTGAGAATTCTACCACTGAACCACCAATGCTCGCTAGAGATAATTTGAGATCAAACATATTTCTTTCTTAAATACTTTGGGAGTACCCCTTTGGGTATTTGATGAAGGGAGATCCTCTCATACTTATTCTGTGTTTAGTCTCATATATAATATTAAGAAAAATCACAACTCCAGTCTATTTTTTTAAAACCTCTACATATATATATACTTTTTAATCCTCATCTGAGGGTATGTTTATTGATTTGAGAGAGAGAGAGAGAGAGAGAGAGAGAGAGAGAGAGAGAGAGAGAAGAGAACATCGATTGGCTCCCTTCCGTATGTGTCCCCACTGGAGATACAGCCTGCAACCTGGGTATATACTCTGGGAATAGAACCAGCGACCTCTTGGTATATGGGACAACTCTCCAACCAACTGTGCCATACTGACCGGGGCAAACCCTTTATATTTTTACACCAGTATTTGGAAGTATGTATTTGTCTTTTCTCTTAAAAATTTTTTTGTCAGTTACAGTTGACATTCAATATTATTTTATCTTAGTTTCAGGTCTAAAGCATAGTGGTTAGACATTTATATAATTTCTAAATGACTCTCCAATAAGTCTAGTACCCACCTGACATAGTTATTGCAGTATTGACTATATTCCCTATGCTGTACTTCCTGTGACTGTTTTGTAACTACTTATTTGTACTTAATCTCTTCACCTTTTCCCCCCGCAACCTCCCAACCCCCTCCCATCCGGCAACCATCAAAATGTTCTCTGTATCTGAGTCTGTTTCTATTGTTTATTTTGTTCTTTAGATTCCACATATAAATGAAATCCTGCAGTATTTGTCTTTCTGTCTGACTCACGTCACTTAGCATAATACCCTCGGTCCGACCATGTTGTCACAAATGCTAAGATTTCATTTTTTTGGCCGAGTCATATTCCATTGTTTATATGTCCCACATTTTATTTATTCAATTGTCCATCAAGCGACACTGAGGTTGCTTTCATATCTTGGCTATTGTAAGTAATGCTGCAGTGAACATAGGGGTGCATATATCTTTCCTAATTAGTGTTTTGGATTTCTTCAGTTTAATACCCAGAAGTGGAATTGCTGGGTCCTAAGGTAGTTTACTTTTAGTTTTTTGAGGCACCTTCATATTGGCTGATTTTCCGTAGTGGCTGCACCAATTTACAATCCCACCAACAATGCACAAGTGTTCTCTTTTCTCCACATCTTCACCAGCACATGTAGTTGTTGGTTTATTTATGATAGCCATTCTGACAAGTGTGAGGTGATATCTCATTGTGGTTTTAATTTGTATTTCTCTGATGATTAGTGACATTGGGCATTTTTTTATATGTCAATTAGCCATATGTATGTCCTTTTTGGAGAAATGTCTGTTCAGGTCCTCTGCCCATTTTTTAGAATGTTTGTTTTTTTATTTGGTGTGGAGTTATATGAGCTCTTTATAAATTTTGGGTATTAACCTCTTATCAGGTGTATCATTGGTAAATATAGTCTCCCATTCTCCATTCTCTAGGTCTGTGGTTGGCAGACCGGCTCACAAGCCACATGCGGCTCTTTATCCCCTTGAGTGTGTCTCTTTCACAAAATACTATAAAATACTACGTGCTGGGTGCGCACGTACAGTGCGATTGAAATTTCGTGGCCCATGCGCAGAAGTCGGTATTTTGTGGAAGAGCCACACTCGAGGGGCCAAAGAGTCGCATGTGGCTCGCGAGCCGCAGTTTGCCGACCACTGCTCTAGGTTGTCTTTCATTGTATTGATGGTTTCATTTGCTGTGCAGAAACTTTTTATTTTGATGTAATTCCATTTGCTTATAATATTTATTTCTTCTATTGTTTATCTTGCCTGAGAAGATATATCAGAAAAAATATTAATAAAAGCAGTGTCCGAGAGCTTACTGCCTATGTTTTTTAGAAGTTTTACGGTTTCAGGTCGTACATTTAAGTCCTTAGTCCATTTTGAGTTTATTCTTGTATACAGTGTAAGAAGGTGGCCTAGTTTCATTTTTTGCCATGTATCTGTCCAGCTTTCCCAACGCCATTTATTGAAGAGATTATTTTTACTGCATTGTATACTTTTGCCTCCTTTGTCATAGATTAATTGACCATATAGGTTTGGATTTGTTTTTAGACTCTATTCTGTATTCTCCATTGATCTATGTATGTGTGTTTATGCCAGTACCATGCTGTTTTTGACTACGGTAGCCTTGTAGTATAGTTTGATATCATGTAGTGTGATACGTCCAGCTTTGTTCTTTCCCAAGATTGCTGTGGCTCTTCGGCGTCTTTTGTGGTTCCATATAAATTTTAGGATTGCCTGGCCGGTATGGTTCAGTGGTTGAGTGTCCACCCATGAACCAAGAGGTCTCATTGGTTCGATTCCTGGGTTGTGAACTCTATCACAGGAGGCAGCTGATCAATGATTCTTTCTCATCATTGATGTTTCTACCTTCTCTCCCTCTCCCTTCCTCTCTTTTTAAAAATCAATAAAGATATATTGTTAAAAAAATTTAGGGTTATGTGTTCTAGTTTTGTGAAAAATGCTATTGGCATTTTGACAGGGATTGCATTAAATCTGTGGATTGCTTTGGGTAGTATGGACATTTTAACAATGCTAATTCTTCCTATCCATGAGCCACAGTTATGTGCTTCCATTTATTTGCATCTTCTTCGATTTCTTCAATGTCTTATAATTTACCAAGCACAAGTCTTTTACCTCCATGGTTAAATTTATTCCTAGGTATATTTTTCAATGCAATTATAAATGGGATTGTTCTCTTAATTTCTTTTTTTTATAGTTCATTATTGGTACGTAAAAATGCAACTGATTTCTGAGTTTTAATTTTGGATCCTACTACTTTACTGAATTCACTTATCAGTTCTAATGGATTTTTGGTGGATTTTTTAGGGTTCTCTCTATATAATGTCATCTGCAAATAGTGAGTTTTACTTCCTTTGCAATTTGAATGCCTTTTATTTCTTTTTCTTGGCTAGGACTTACTGTAATTTCTCTTTTTATAATTCAGTATTTCTTACAAAGTAAGCCCCCCAAAATAAGTTAAAAAAAAAGAGACTGAAATAGGAAGCCATTATATGTTGGATAATAGAAAAATGCTTAAAAAATTAAAAATTTCAAGGCTAATCAGCATGTATCAGTGATAGTGCATAGGCAGCGTAGTTAAGTTTAAAGGATGTGTTTATGGTAGATTTCTTAGATGAAAGTCACCCATATCTGTGTCCCCTTGTTCTTAGGGTAAACAGCCTTTGTTCAATCAAAAAATATTTAGTGGAAAAAAAAAAGTATTTCGTGTAATCAAAAGTTAAGATGTTCGTACATTTAGCAAGAGGGCAAAATCAAACTTTAAAGTAATAAGCTTTTCTAATTCATTAAAACAGAATACTTGTTAAAAAATGGTAGTCTAGGGTTTTAGCTTTCTACTCAATTGGGAAACTTCTGCAGTTTTTCCATTTTTATCTTTTAAAAAATTGTGCAATATACATTTGTGAAATTTATGTTATAACTGTAGAAATTGTATTGATATTTGTAGGCCTACCAGAATAGGATAGGCAACAGTTACTTAATAAATGTTTCCTTTATTTTTAGGTGGTTTTAGAGGTGGAAGAGGAGGAGGTAGAGGTGGAGGCTTCAGAGGAGGAAGAGGAGGGGGTGGTTTCAGAGGTAAGTATGAAAAAAACACACCTTTAAATGACTGAAATTCTAGAATTGGTATTATCTGCCATTTTATTTATTTATTTTTAAATATTTTTTATTGACTTTTTAGAGAGAGGAAGGGAGAGAGATAGAGAGTTAGAAACATCGATGAGAGAGAAACATCAATCAGCTGCCTCCTGCACACTCCCTACTGGAGATGTACCCGCAACCAAGGTACATGCCCTTGACTGGAATCGAACCTGGGACCTTTCAGTCCACAGGCCAACGCTCTATCCACTGAGCCAAACTAGTTACGGCATATCTGCCATTTTAAAATTGTTATTTAATTTTATATTTGTTTGCCAGCAAGCCTGTAGAACATCGTGGTGTTCTTTGTTTTAGCCTAATTTCTAGCTTCATTTTATATCACTCTTCCCTGCTTTTCCCTTTGAGTTTTATCACCTACTTCCAGTTTATTTTACTGTATTTTTAATTAGAAAAAAAGGTGTAATATGAATGACAGTTAAATTTAGTAAAGTAGGTTTGCTAAACATTACAAGAACTAATGCTGATTTTAAACTTAAGATTTGGGTAATAGTATTATTAATTTCCATACCATTAATACTTTCATTTTCTCTTAATCAGGGAGAGGACATTAAGTGTAACAGTTGACAGAGGAACTTCACCAACTGATTTCTGTGTTAACCTGCGTGGTCTACTTCTGTGGATCAGAAATTTGTTTCTTGAGCAAGTCTTGAAGAACCAGTTACTACATGACATGGCACTCAGATGTCAATGTCACACAAACAGAGTGCAACAGAATAGGCACTTATGGAGTTTGGACAAGTGTTTTAATGTTTTATATAATGCTCGGAACTGTGATTGCTTAATAAATGGACAATTTTCACATGAAGCATATTTGAATTTTTACAATAAAATGTTTTATTTCTTTAAGTTACTTAGAGCTGTGTTTATTAAACCAGAGCTATTTTTGAAGTTAAAATGAACAACTAAAGCTTAAGTCCAGTGGTTTTCATGTAGAGAGAATGATCTGTTTACATATATAACTCATCTTTAAAAACATAATGCTACTGAAGGAATACTTTAACATTAACATTATTTATAAACCAACACCTCTTTCCAAATGTTTGCCTTTTATATATGAGGACATTAGCACCCTTTATTGTATTTTCCTTTTGTGTGTTAGTAAAGCAGTTTCTTTAATTGTAATGATTAATTGCTTACAAAATTTTACTATTGATTACGACCCTTTTAAAGTTGGGACAGCTCTGTTCAAAGAGAACTAAAGTTCAAGAAATTTCTGAAGAAATATTTAATTTTTCAACATTCAATATAGATTGAATGTTGAAAGTTTTACTGATTATTCTTATTTTACATTTTTAAAGGGGATCCAAAGGTTTAAGATGTTATTCACCATAAGCAAATATTTGATTTCCTGCTACATGTTCAGATTCCTGGGTAGAGATAGTACAAATGAAATTGGTGTTGATCCCTATTGCTGTTGTAGTATCATGCAGTAGCCATGATAGCAAGTTAGAGTACTGTGATATGGGACCATTTGCTCTGCATTGATTTTTCCCCCTTTTTTTAGGAATGATATTGCCATACCTTTTCCTAAATTTTTCCAACCTAATGCTCATTTGAGTAGCATATAGTATTGCCTGTGTCAGTATCGTGGGTTTACTACTCTTTTGATGGAATTGTGGCAGGATTAGTAAATATGTAGGCCATAAATATATATGATGAACAAATATGTTGAAAATTACTGTTTGCCAGTAAGCAGTTGTGCTTTTAAAACATGGAGATTTCTTTCACCTTTTACTTGAGTAAATCTTTTGGTCATTGGCCATCTTGAATCTTTTATTTTTCCTGTTTTTTGCTTAATGTAGTTCATTCTGGGTTTCCGTTGGGGCATTTAGTTTGGAGTCAATTTCACATATTTAGGGAGCCTAACACGAATGAATATAGTACTGAGGTATCACTGAGTTCCATTGTGAAAGGTATTTTCATGCTTATTCAAACATGTTAAGTCTTTTGAGTTTACTGAATAACATTCTGATTGCCTGCATCATATTAAAATGCATTTGTTGCCATAGTAATTAAGCAGTTTAATGGAATATAAGCAATATTTGCCCATTTTCCTGAAAAGTTGGGAAGAGTTAGGAAAAGCAGATTGATTTTAGGCAACTGAAGTTTATGAAATTAAAATTGTGAACTATGTGAACATTTTGATAAATAATTATATTTCTTAGTATTTTAAGCCTCATCCCAATATAGGTTTTCTGTATCACTCATGAAGGACGCATAAAAAAGTACTTTGAATACATTTATCTATAGCAGGTAGGTGGCCATCTTTAGAATTATTATTTAGTTTTTATAAAAAATTATTTCTGGGGAATTTAAGTGGCTGCTAGAGCTAGGTATAGTCAATCACAGGAAGGGAAGGGACTATGAACCAAGACATACTCAACTTTTTTTAATTCTGCATACTGAATGAAAAAAAAACACCCAACAAGGGTTTTAAAAAGGAGAATTTCACTTAGGTATTCTGTTCATTGCCTTGGGGTTATTTAAAAGTATTTTGTTACTGAAATACTGTTGAAATTCACTTCACTGGCATTGATACTCTGCAGTATTTACATTTATTAAAATTTTGAGTTTTGATAGCTATAAGATCTGGGATAGGTCACCCGGCCTGGTTCAATTGCTTCAGTTTATATACTGAGAGAATTGAGAGAATTGAGGCAAAACAATTATCTTAGGTCCCTTGCTGTGCCATTCTAAGATTATATAGTTAAATTAAATGGGGAAATAAAGCCCTCTAGTGGTTCTGTCCTGCTTACACTATTCGGTGCATGTAGCATTTCTAGAGTTTGATTTTAAATTCATTGTTGAGAAGAATCCAGTAATATTACATGACAAAAGTATGGGGGAAAATGTGTTAGGGTTATCTTAGTCTACCAATAAATGTATGTTAGATTGTAATCCACTTATGCAACCTGTTTTTTGAGTTACAACAAGGTGGTTCAGAATATTAGAATTGCCTGGTACAAGATGAATGAATCCAGGTTCTTGGCTGATATGTGCTGTGGTTATGATCAGATAATTACTTGTACATATTAAAGTATAGGGTAAATTAACTGAGGTGGATTGTGAAGTAGATCATGCGATACCTATCCATGCTATGAAATATATAACTATTAATAAATTAGATTTATAGACCCGGAATTTAGGGGAAAACAAGTTGCAGAATGATTTTATATAAATATAGCTCCCTATTTTTGCTTTTAAGAAAGTGGGAGACACCTCAAAGCCTTTTATAAATATGTTTGTATAAGCAAAGGAAAGCAAAAAGGGTATAAACCAAACAATGCTACCTTTACGGGTGTGACATTTGGAAGGATGTGGAAGATTACTTCTTTGTCTCTATGAAATTGTTATGGAAAAAAACCAAAAAAGTATCTGAAATGGAAATACTTTAAAGGATCAACTGAAAACAGGGACTTTAATCTCAATGGTTTTAGGACTAAGCCTGGCTCTTAATTTCAGAACTGATTTCCAGCAGAGAACAGTTAAGTCAGCTCCTGCACTGATTTTCTGAGTTTGTTTATTGTTTAAATGGGATGTTTGATAATCTCTAGACATAAGGCTGATGCCCAAATTGGTTAAAATGTTTGGCCTGGTATTTCTCTTTATTTTGTTAATAAGGTTTTCCCTTGCTCTGGGGATTAAAATCCTTTTCTCTTTAGCCCAATCACATTTGTTAAGGGAGGGCCTCTATGAAAAGGCTATTCTTTGAGACCTTGAAGTGGAAATGATTAGTTCTGAAAATTCCTTCCTCAGTGGCATTTACAGCATTTTATAATTATTGAAGGCTGACTCATATCTTCCCTCCAGAATGCTAAAGAATAATTTAAGCAACAGTTCAGACTTTAAAAATGAAGATGGCTCTGTCTTTTCACAGACTGAACACAATATTGTTGCAACTTACTTGATTATGGCAGGTATGGATGTTTACTCCCTTAATAGTACTTTTACTTTTAAGTGGGTGAAGAAAAGCAGAGGATTTCAGCATAAGGCAGTAGAAAAAGCATAGGTTTAGAGATGATTCAAGTGTCATATGGTTAGCCAACCTCCCGAAATCACTTTTGCTTTCTGAGTTGGGGTGGTCAAGTAAATGAGGGTGATGGCTGTAAAGATCCAATAACAATGTCAGTGAGGATAAGTGAAAGCATTGCTAATGGTGGTTAGTATCATAAGTTACTTTGGATGTTTATTTATTGGTTGATTTTAGAGAGAAGTAAAAAAGGGAGAGAGAGAAACATAGAGTTGTTGTTGTACTTATTTATGCATTCAAAGGTTGATTCTGTGTGCCCTGACTAGGGATCAAACCCACAACCTTGACATATTGGGATGATGCTCTAACCAACTGAGCTACCTTGCCAGGGCAACTTTGAATCTTGAAACACCATGTGAGAGAAGTGACATGGGGCTGAGAAAAGTTTTCTATAAAATGAATAATTATTTTATAATCCATACATTTGATTATTATGTTCTCAGGTACGATAAGTATTCTCAGCAACATAATAGTTCTGGGCATCTTCATTACGTACAAGGAACTCCGGACACCCACAAATGCAATTATCATGAACCTGGCTGTTACTGACATAGGGGTCAGTAGCATTGGCTATCCCATGTCTGCTGCTTCAGATCTGCATGGAAGTTGGAAATTTGGGTATGCAGGATGCCAGGTATTGGAGATCTTCGGAATTAAAGTTAAGTAAAGTAGATTAAAGGGATATAAATTTAAATGTCTAAAAAAGTCCCATGGGCTTTAATCAAATAAGATCATAGATAATAGGTATAGTGCTCTTTTTGAGAACAGTTTCACGAGTACTGGAAAACATATTCTTTAACCAGAGAAATGAATTACTAGCCATAATTATATTTAAAATTTTTTTCAACCTAAAAGAAAAAACCAAACTAACAACATTCAACTAGAGAAGAACAGTGAAAACTTGCATATTCAAATTCAAGTTCAAAAAGAAATATCCTGCTTTCATTTGAAATAAATATTAAAGATATATCTAAGTAATGTAGTTAAGCTATCACATTGATAGGTAAATTAATATTACAAGAAAATAAATTAGTATTAATTTATGTTAAGATAGTAGGCAAATAAGACTTTTTGCCTGATTTTTTAAGTTTACCATTTTAAGCTATAAAATCATAAAGAGCAAAATAAGTCTAACAGAATAATAAATATCCATGCATACATGAAACAGTTTTGTCAAGTCTTAATGTTTTCCTTTTTTAAAAAAATCTTTATTGTTGACAGTATTACATTTGTCATCTTCCCCTCCTCCCCCCCAATGTTTTTCAATATGTACTTCAGGTTGTTTTTCTTTCTAAAGATAAAAAACTGTACAGATGTAGTTGAAGGTCATTGCAAACCATCCCAATGGTTTATTCCATTCTCTCCCATGAATGTTTTCTTAATCTTACTACATATTTATGTGTACATAAACTAAATACTTAATGCTTTAAATTTTGTATCAACATATTGTTTGCATTATGCAACTTTCATTAGTCAATATTTTTAAGTTAGCCATTTTATAAACACGTGCCAGCATATTTATTTTTCTATTATTGAACATTTATTCCCAATGCTTTTCTGTCATAAAAAAAGGCTTCAATGAATGTTCTTACCCATATTTCTTTAGATACATTGCTTAGGAGAGGTTGGTTGGGTTGTAGAGAATGTTCATCTTCAACTTTATCAGATGCGGCCAAATTGCTCTCCAAAATGGTTGTGTCACTTACAAGCACTTCTGTTACTCCACATTTTCCCCAACACTTGGGATTGTCAAACTTTTAAATTTTTACCATTTTGATGGGGGTAAAATGGTGGCTGTAGTTTTCACTTCTTTGAATACATAATGTGGTATACATTTTTTAATGTCACAAACATTCAGTTTCCTCTTTCATGAATAGCCTATTTTTTTTGTTTTTAGAGTTTTTTCCCCCTGTTTATCGAGTATCCTGGTTAGAAGCTTTACTTTAAGTCTTAAAATTTTATTTTAATTAATGAAGTCTCAAAACAATTTTCATTAAACCAGTTACACTTTGACAATGGAAGATATATTTTAAAATTAGTATAATACTAGAACGTTTAATGTATTTATATTCTAGCACTGAGATAAAAATGTAACTGTCTCTTGGGAGGTGTAGAACAGTGGGTTCTTTACAATTTTGATTTTCAGATTTATGCTGGATTGAATATCTTCTTTGGAATGGCAAGTATTGGATTACTCACAGTTGTGGCCATGGATCGATACCTGACCATTTGCCATCCTGATGCGGGTACAGCATTTTTCTCAATGAATTCCTATCTTGCCTAAGTACCACTTGACACACATTCACTTTAGAATGTAAATGGGTTGCAGTCATGATCAGTTTTATTTCTCTAACAATCATTGTTCAAAAGTTTAAATGATTTCCTATTATACTTAGAATAACATCCAAATATCACAACTGCCTCCAAGGCCCTGCTACCCTTCTAGCTTTGGCTTGGGCCCTCTCATTTTGGGGTCCTGGCCACTCCCTTTCCCACTCTGGGGTCTTTGCAGATGCTGCTTCCTCAGGTCTGGAAAACACTTCTCTCTGCGTATCTTCCCAATGATCCTTTTATCTGTTGGATAGGCTTTGAGTGAGCTGAAATGTTCTATAAACAATCTACTTGAGAACAACTTTGAATAATCAGTTATAACAAAGTGGAGATATGAATTTCATTATGGGAAAATGAGGCTAATATTTCATATGTTTGTTCATAGGAAGAAGAATGACCACCCACACCTACATCAGCATGATTCTGGGGGCCTGGATCAATGGCCTCTTTTGGGCTTTGATGCCTATCATAGGGTGGGCTAGTTATGCCCCAGACCCTACTGGGGCCACCTGTACCATAAACTGGCGGAAAAATGATGTGTAAGAGACACTTTCACACTTTATAACGAAGTGCTTCTAATGTAGACATTTTCTCACCCTTTTTTAAGCTCAGATCAAATGTTTTCCATACGGAGTGGCCGACAGGCTTCCTTGTGGGTGGTGATGTGATTCCAAGCTTTGAATTACGCTTGTTTGCAAGTAAATGCCATCCAGCTCCCCTTTTCCCTTCCTTTGCGCCCCACTCCTACCCTGTCCTTTCTTCTCTCTTCTCTGGTGGAAAAGGGGATACAGAACACCCTTCTGATATTTGCACATTGGAGGGAGAATCTGGGAGGGATAAGGGAGTGTCAATATCACTAGACAGCATGTAGCTCGGGCTTTCACGGAGGCTGGCTCCTTCCTATCTTTTCAAACTGACGTGGTGATAAAGTATCTTCAGAGATTCAGGCAGCAAAACACCATCACTGCAAGGATTTGCTTGCTACTTGGTGATGCTCTTCTCTATTTACTAGGGAAAAGAGGATAATTTAGCTTCTTAAACAAAGTGAAAGATCACTCAGAAAAACAAATATAAAATTTCTAACTCTCAAACTAAATCTAACTCTAAATCTCTTTCTGTACAGGGTTGACAAGTGAATATTTTGAGGCTTTAGGGTGATATTGTCTCTGTTACAACCATTCCACTCTGCCTATGAAGCAGTCATAGACAGTATCTAAATGAATGTGGTCCCAACCCCTAGTCTAAATGGGCTAAAAGTCAAGTATACATTCTAAGCCGTATAATGATATAGTGACTGCTGGATGGTGCCAGTATTATCTATATGTATAAAAGCCTAAGCGACCGTTACGACATGTCGACCTGTCACTATGATGTGCACTGACCACCAGGGGGCAGACGCTCAATGCAGGAGCTGGTGGTCAGTGTGCTCCCACAGCCAATGTACCACAACCAGCCAACCTCCTGAGGTCCCTCCCCCCAGCCAGCTGACCTCGATCGACCCCGATCAGGACTGGCCTAGATAGCCCCCGATCGGCCCCGATCGGCCCCAATCGCTGGCCAGGCTGAGGGACCACACCCATGCATGAATTCATGCACTGGGCCTCTAGTTTCAAATAATTATGCTGTTTCCCTTCCCCAATTAAATAAGTAGTGATTTAGATTCCCTTTTTTTATTTTCAGATCTTTTGTATCTTTCACGATGACAGTTATTGCGATAAATTTTATTGTGCCCTTGACTGTGATGTTTTACTGCTATTACCATGTCACTCGATCCATTAAATGTCATGCTACCAGTAACTGCACTGAGTACCTCAACAGAGATTGGGCAGATCAGGTAGATGTAACAAAGGTAAGACATTAAAATCCTTAAGATATTTTTGCAGTCAAGCTTTTATACATATGTGGTCCCCTGGCCCCTGCAGTTACCTCTCCTCACCCCCATGATTCTTACTCCCTGGCTCTTTTGTCTGGTGTTTGTCTCCACAGTGTTGAACAATGTGCTCATCTGTTGTTTTGGATATTTTTGTTTACCATTACCTCTTGATTTCCTACTATGGACAATAAGAATTTATTTCTCTTACACCACCAATCTTTTCTATTCCCCCACCCATTTTTCTCTCTCCTCATCTTCTTTGGTTAGATGAAGAGTCAATTTTACATTATTGTGATTCTCTACATTTTATTTATTGCAGATCTCTGTAGGAGTCAATGATTTGTATTTCATTTGAAAACAATATTATTCACTTATAATTGATGTACAACATTGTATTAGTTTCAGGTGTCCAACCCAGAGATTAGACATTTATATAACTTATGATTCATTTTTTTTTTTAAATATATTTTATTGATTTTTTACAGAGAGGAAGGGAGAGAGAGATAGAGAGTTAGAAACATCGATGAGAGAGAAACATCGACCAGCCGCCTCCTGCACACCTCCTACTAGGGATGTGCCCGCAACCCAGGTACATGCCCTTGACCGGAATCGAACCCGGGACCCTTCAGTCCGCAGGCCGACGCTCTATCCACTGAGCCAAACCGGTTTCGGCGATGATTCATTTTTTTATAAAACATTTTTCTTGCCCTGGCCAGTGTTGCTTAGTTGGTTGTGTATTGTCCCATGCACTGAAAAGGTTGCTGGTTTGATTCTCGGTTAGGTAACAGGTTTCAGGCTTGATCCCCAGTAGGGGGCAAGCAGGAGGCAGCCGATTAATGTTTCCTTCTCACATAGATGTTTCTCTGCTTCTCTCTCTCTCTCTCTCTCTCTCTCTCTCTCTCTCTCCCTTTCCTTTGCTCTCTCTCTAAAAATCAATAAAAAATTCTTAAACACACACACACAAACTTTTTCCCCATGGAGTTAATAATTTTTTTTTCTTTCTTTCTCTTTCTCCCTCCTTCAACTCTCTCCCTTTCTTGTCCTCTCCCTCCCTCCCCCTCTCTTTGCAGTTTTGTTTGCTTCCTGTTCTGTGTACCTGTCACTAATTCATCTCTAATCTCTCCACCAGCAGCGTCAATTTACTCTCCGTATATTTAAGTGCATCAGGGACTTTCTCCTTTTCTTGGAATTTTGCTTCCTGGCACTTCTGGGCCTCTTGGTCTGCTCTGCATGGGCAGTTCTCTAAAACCACAGCCCTGAAAGCTGGCACCTCAGGTCTCCTTCATCACCAGCTGGGAGTGCCTTTGGATCGCCTGTGTCTGGGTTGCCTGTCTTCCTTTTCCTTGGTTACTCCCTCTCATTTGGTGGAGCATATTCCCAAGAAGATTCCCGAGAAGGTTATCAGGAGGTAAATTTCAAAGGATTTTGCCTGCTTGAAAATGTCTTAAAATTCTATCATATTGGACTGATTGTTTGATGGTATACAAGTTTAAGTCGAGAAATGATTTTCAAAGAATTTTGAAGGCATGCTGTGTAGTCTCCTAACTTCTGTGTTGCTATTGATAACAATGGCTGACAGCATTCTGCTGCCTGAGCCTTTGTAGCAATCTGTGTGTGATCTCTGGAAGCTGTAGGAGCATCTGTGTCTCCGGTTTTCTGGAACTTCATGCTGATGTGCTTGGAGTAGCTCTTTTTTCAGCCATGTGCTGGTGCTGGGTAAGTGCTTGGCAAGTGAAGAACCAGGTCCTGCCTTTAGGGGGTTCTTGTATCATTTCTCTGGTGATCTCCCACCTGCTTTGCATTCTCTGTTCTCTTTTCCTGGAACTTCTTTTATCTGGATATTTAGTCTCCTGGGTTTATCTTCTAATTACTAAAACTTTTCTCTCCTATGCTGTCCCTGTTTTGGGTTTATTTGTTTGCTTGTTTTGTTTGTTTGTTTTTGTTTCTACTTTCTGAGAGGTTTCCTCAATCTTGTCCAGGTCTGGGATTGGGTGAGGAGAGTGAGGCTCAAGCCTTGGGTGTAAAATTTAAGTAGGCCCCCAAAAGCTCAGTAATAAGAAAAGTAGTTAATGCAGTACTAAAAAGATCAGAGTTAATGCAAAGCTTAACTTTGCATTGAAGATAATGCATATTGAACATAATATCAAATTTTAAATAAAGATAGGATCTGTCCCTGCACTTGCATGACTCAACTCATTGATCTTACCCTTCCTATTGCATTTAAACAATTCTGCTCTCTTTTATATATAGGGTAAAAACCATTGTTATAGATAAAAGAATTATTTTATACTTTACACTCTTTTTACTAGCCTCTTCTTGTTTTATATCTTCTCTCACTTCTGTGATGTTATTATGCATATATTTCCATTTTCCGTCCGTTCACATATTTTTTGTTTCTCCTGATTTTCTGAACCGTTTTGAACTCTGCCTGTGAGTTTGCGTGTTTCCTCAGTGTCTGGTGGCCAGTGATTGTCCTTGCGTGTTGAAAGTGATGCACTAGAAAGCTGACTGTAGGCTCTGCATGGGCTCTTTTGTTGGGATGCTTCTTTGGGGGCTTTCTGACAATCTGATTCTCTAGGCATTTTCTCCTGGGCTGGTCACTTTCCAAGGAGAAGATTCTTTTACGTTCCTAGGTGGAACATACAAGTCTGTCTACCTGTATGCTGTGGCTCAGAGCATGAAGGGGCAGCATGCAGCACCCCTCTTTTCAGTACAGCACTCTGGCTCTCAGCTGAGCCCAGTGTCCTCAGTCCTGAGTTCCCCTGCTTTCCCCCTCCTACACTTCTGGGTGCTTTTGGGAGAGGACAGGCCTGAGTGCAGAGGGAATTTGAAAGTCTAGGTGCTGCTTTTTGCATATTTCAGTGAGCTGTTTTAAATTCCATGGGCAGCCCTACCTTCATAGCTAGCTGTCACCACCAGTTCCTGAGACTTTCTGAGTTCTGAACAATGTATTAGTCTATACTGGTATATACCAGGAGTCCATAGCACAGCTACTAGAAATGGGTCAGGAGTGGGTATAGATCTGCTTTTCATCAAAGCCAGCTTTTGTGTCCTCCCCTAGCACACCAAAAGAAAGGAGGCCTTCTTTACATTTGTTCACATTGTATCCTCACAAGCTCTTGCTATCATAGGTGACTTCTTTATTTGCACATGAGCAAAGAGCAGTGTGGGGCGGGGGTGGGGGGAGGGTTCAGTTTTTCCTTTATGTCATCAATAACATAAACTTATTCAAATTCTAATATAGATAATTTTATGCTATTTTAGATATATTAGCTAATTAAATATTCGGTTTGGCAAATGCTGATTTCTTTTACAGATGTCTGTGATAATGATATTCATGTTCCTGGTGGCGTGGTCCCCTTATTCGATTGTGTGCTTATGGGCTTCTTTTGGGGACCCAAAGAAGATTCCCCCCTCCATGGCTATCATTGCTCCACTGTTTGCAAAATCTTCTACATTCTACAACCCCTGTATTTATGTGGTTGCCAACAAAAAGTAAGTAATGTCTAAAATGATTCTGAACAAAATAATAGATACAGAAAGGATGTTAAAAAGGCAGTAGATAATATTGTAAGACTTCTGGGAAGGTGAGTGACAGAAACTCACTTCTGAACTAGTATAAAAGTTATTTGACTCTTGCAACTGGAAACTTCAAATGCCCAGAGCTCCAGTTCTGTGACAGGTTCTTCCCACATGGAGGCAAGATGGTCACAAGCAACCCAAAACCCAAGTTCTACCAGCTAAGCAGCTCCAAATTCGAGTTTCACCTCTCATGCTCCTTGGCAGAAAAGCTGCTGGAAGGTAGGCTCAGCGAGTTCTCGTGGTTATCCCTCCCAAAATACGTGCAATTGGTATTTCAAAGAAAAGAGTGATTCTGTTACTAGAACATGGACAAGGTAAGGCAATGTTGGGCTCCCTAAGTGATATGTCTTCTTTCTAGTAGATATACTAGATGCAAATGCAAGATGAAAATCCAGTGCTAACATGAAGGGCTTCTGGAGAGTACAGTCATTCAGGATAACAGAGGAAGAACCCTACTCCCTTTGTTAGGGTTCTCAGTAAGGATCTCTTTCCTGCGTCCTCCCTGAAGCTTTGGTTATTTTGTTTTCTGTTGCTGCTAAAAGATGGAATGAACCAATCTACTGTGCTTAAATATTTGACCAGAAAAATCTTAGTAGAGTTCAAGTAATTTGATGCTGGAATGCCAATGCTGCTTCTATTAAACCTACGCATTTATGCTCATGTTTAGGAGAGCAGCTTTAGTTACAGGTATGTGAAAAATGGGAAAACTTTTAAGACCATTCAGATCATATAAGAAAAATAAAGAACACATTTTAAATTCAGAACTTATTGGTAGTTCTTTTGGAAAGATTGGTCATTCTCAAACTCCCTTTAATTTCAACTGACCTTGCTCAGAACAGATGCATGAAATGCATATCCTTAGTTCAAATAGATACATTATTGTAATTGATATTAGAAACATCATTTAAACACATAATTACTGATTTTTACTAAATACCTTCAATGTTTATAATCAATGTCACAAAATTGGTCTTTAACTGTCCATATACTTTCTACATTTATAAAGGTTTGCAACAGGAGATGTTAAAGTTGGAGATGTCAATTGGCAGTAGTGGCATCTTAGCCATATTTGAAAGTATTTTAAAACTAGAGACCCGGTGCACGAAATCCAGCCTGCACCCCCTTGCAGTCCAGGAGCCCTTGGGTGATGTCCGACTGACGGCTTAGGCCCGCTCCCTCTGGAGAGCGGGCCTAAGCCATCAGTTGGGACATCCTTAGCGCTGCTGTGGAGGCGGGAGAGGTTCCCACTACTGCCACTCCACTTACCAGCCATGAGCCTGGCTTCTGGCTGAGTGGTGCTCCCCCTGTGGGAGCGCACTGACCACCAGGGGGCAGCTCCTGCGTTGAGCATCTGCCCCCTGGAAGTCAGTGTGTGTCATAGCAAACGGTCATTCCGCCGTTCGGTCGATGTGCATATTAGTCTTTTATTATATTGGATTCTAAGCCATTATAGGATAATACCAGCTTTCCCCCTTTATATTGTAGGTTTCGGAGGGCAATGTTTGCCATGTTCAAATGTCAGACTCATCAAACTATGACCACGATGAGCTTTTTACCAATGGATGTACCTCAAACCCATTGACTTCTGGAAGAATCTGAAATAAAAGGAAAGCACAAGTTATCAATATATTTGTTTACTTTTTTTTGCAATATTTTAATTTTACTTAAAATATGAAGCCAGTTAGATCAAATGCAGACATAAATTATTATCCTAATAGACTGAATTCCTTAAATGTAGTTTATAGTTCTGTTTGTGCATTGGCTATTGTAGAGAATGCTTCTTTATTTCTTTATATGTAATCTTATTGCTCATCTCTTTTGATGAATCCCGGTACATAATTCTCTTTTTCCCTATCTTGGCATGTGATACTCTGTACCGATGGCCTGGTATCTTGCCTGGGCCCTCCATTAGACCAGAAGTAGTTGCTATGTTAATGTTAAAAAAAAAAAAAGTTAATAAATAAATAATAATTAATTAATAATTACTGAAATGAGTTGTTAGCATTTCACAATTTTAAAATCTTAATGTAATTATTAACATACTATTTAACAAAAGTGATCAGAGGACTATTAAGTCACATGCCAGTTATTGCATATATATTTTATACAGCAACATAATCTCTGTGCATGTTATTATATAGTCTGCTTTTTAATTATCATTTTTCTATATATTCATTTCTATATATTTGCCACTAGAATTAAGTTTAATCAGAGTGGGGGTTTTTGTATGTTGTTTTTTTCCCCCCTCTTTTTTGTTTGAAATTTATTTTATTGTGGTAAGAACATAACATGAGATCTACCCCCTCAACAAATGTTTAAGTGTATAATACAGTATAAGTACAACAGTGCACAACAGATCTCTAGAACTTACTCATCTTGCTTAACTGAAACTTTATGCCTGTTGATTAGCCGTATGTTTGTTCTTTGATGTGTCCTGAGCATGCACACCCGTTTTGCCTGGCACATAGTAGGCACTCAATAAATATTTGTTGAATGTTGAATACATTTGTAGTCACATAATTGTCACTTTAAATAACTATTAAGCATAGCAGGATAATACACGATTATTTAAATAGTGAACATTTAAAATCTATTGTATTTTGTTTTAATTGAGCAAATTCTTCTGACTGTTGTTTCTATATGCATCCTATTATTTTTATTTTTTTAATTATTATTTTTTATTTTTAAAAAATATATTTTTATTGATTTCAGAGAGGAAGGGAGAGGGAGAGAGAGATAGAAACATCAATGATGAGAGAGAATCATTGATTGGCTGCCTCCTGCACGCCCCACACTGGGGATCGAGCCTGCAACCTGGGTATGTGCCCTTGGCCGGAATCGAACCTGGGACCCTTCAGTCCGCAGGCCAACACTCTGTCCACTGAACCAAACTGGCTAGGGCCATCCTGTTAGTTTTAAATAATATTTCCCATAGTATTCTTACTTTTATAAAATTGATTCTTTTAAAAGAGTTTTTTGTTTAAAGATGATGGATAGAACCACCTAATAGGAAGATTAAATGCCATATATATTTGTGATATATGTTACCTAAACCCTTGATTGTGCCTGTGGATTCTCCCCACCTCATGAATGTTCAGGTTATTTTTTAACTATTCGATTTACTTTTTATTTTTTGATAGAGCTTAACTTTGCTAAAAGACATACCAGTTCATCTTTAGCTATGGTTTGATGCCCATAATTTGGGAAACGAGCTTAAAATAAAACATATTCTTAAAGAGAGATAGTAGCTTTGAGTAGAAATAAGAGCTGGGAGGAGCCTTACACTGTGCTGAGATGCCCTGCAGAGCCACAGGACACACTCACTGGAGCCCTAGGTCCACATTTCAGTGGTGAATTGAAGCATTTAGTCTAAAAACAAACAAACCAAAAAACCCCACTAGGTTCCAGACTTTGTCTACTTTGTTTTTGGAGATAGCCAATACTTGGCAATATTGATAACTCTATTCTAAATCAATTTTACATCATGTGCTTCTATCTTTAAAGCTAAATTTTGTAAAACTGATTGTTATGCATGCTGATAAAAAGAAAATGCACAAAATAAAATTTATAATGTTATAATGTAAATCATCTGCTAAATGTTCTAGTATCTGCTAAGACATTGAATTGTTTTTAACATTGCGTGTAGCTGCAAGATATATTAGCAATTACATCCATAGGAAAGGAATTTAATAGGCATTTCCTTGCAAATCTAGATACGAGCAACTACTGAAATTTTCTTGACATGTGTTTGATTTTCACTTTTTTTATAATGTGTTACTTTGCTGAAACCACATTCAAAGGCTAGGAAGATTGAACCCCTGCAAAATACACTTGAAGGTTAAGTAACTACAGATCTCAGCTAATCCTGTGTAATCTGCTCTTACTAAATGGCTGTTTGCGTTCCAGGCACACCAGTCTCTGAATGCTTAGGATTTGGTTTTTACCTGTTGTTCCAATAACCTCTAAAAGGAGCAATGCGTCTCTTAGCATGCCTGGGCGTTGTGCTTAGCTTTTTGGAAGGAGTGAGTTGTTTATGTCCATCACAGTGCACCTGCGATTATCACGGCAGAAATGATGGCACGGGATCAAGGTATGCTACTAAGTGTTCTAATGATTCTGAGGAAAGGGGCCCCCATCAGCCTTATTTGAAAGCAAACTGTTGATCAGAAATCAGAGGAGAGAAGGTTTAATTTACATAAGCTTTAACTTAGTTGTGTTAATACTGGTTGCTAATGCTATGCTTTTATCTTGAGCAGTTTAGCTCTTAAAAACCCCTCATTTTTATTTGAGACCTTCAAACACATACAGAAATGTTCATTGCACTGTGTTCAGAAAATGTTCATTTCAGGAGGTCAAGCTGAAATGTGTGTGTCCCACTCAGCCTGATTACAGAAAGCAGGGCCGATCAGGAGGTGTTAACATTCCCAGATCATTTGCTTCCCAAGTTTTCCATTTCATTTCGAGGGTTGTTCATGCCAATTGGATAGACCTTAGAAAGCAGAAATGACTCTCATAAGAGTGAAATTACAGACGTTCATAATTAGAATTTTTTATTTTAAGATATTGGAATTTACAAAGAAAAGCGGTTTGAAAGATATGGATCAACTCTGTCAGTTGCCGTCACTGTAGAAGTTATTTAACCTCTGGGTTGCTTTCACATCTACCTGTGAAGTAAAAATAATTGCATACTCATAATATACATGAGTCCTTTGAGATAGAAGTTAAATGCAAAAAGGAACTTTTGTTAGCTAACCATGGTAGACCATGATTTTTCTAAAAGGATATTTAATGACAAAATCAGATTTTTTGTGTGACTTGGTTGATGGACTTTTGAGGTTATTTGAATAGTGAGCCTCTTAAAGTAATTTGTTAAGAGTCACTCAAGTTATGTTCTACACCTTTAAACAAATTAATAAAAATTAAAACATATTATTGAGTAATTTGTCTTGTTATTCTATAAACTTTACTTAAGTAACTTGGTATTTTTTTGAAAGATTTACTAGGTGATGTAAGACAGTGAGAAGAACATAACAAATTAAAAAGCCCTACTTGGCAAAAGCTAGGTAGCAGTTAACAACTCACGCCAGGGTACTTGAGAAACAACACAGAAGTGTTTCCTTCCCCCTGGTGGCCCCATTATTGATGGATTTTATGAAAACCATAGTGTATTATTCTTGGCAAGAGCTCTAGAAAGAATTTAGTTCTGCTGTTATTTTGTAAATGAAGAAACGAAGCCACACAGAGGCTAAAGGACTTGTGCAAGGTCACAGCACGGAGTTGATACAGTGACTGGTTGATAAAGACACTCGGTCTTTCAGCTTCCAATGCAGGCTTTTCTCCATTACACTGGACTGTTAACTTAATGAGTAGAAATTGGATCATTCTGATCTAAAGTAGCACTGAAATTTGTGATAGAGAGTAGAGATGAAGAATAGGAAGTGTCGCCCTAACCGGTTTGGCTCAGTGGATAGAGCGTTGGCCTGCGGACTGAAGGGTCCCAGGTTCGATTCCGGTCAAGGGCATGTACCTTGGTTGCGGGCACATCCCCAGTGGAGAGTGTGCAGGAGGCAGCTGATCGATGTTTCTGACTCTCTATCCCTCTCCCTTACTCTCTAAAAAATCAATAAAATATATATATTTTTAAAAAACAAAAAACCCCTGCTCATTGACAAGGCCTTCCTTGGCCCCCTCGTCCCTGTTTATCTACCTCCACTAGCACTTTTCGCATTGCTGTTTGACATCTACAGATTGATCTGTTCCTAAAGGATGGTGAATTCATAAAGCCATTTCAATATCTCCAGTGTCTTGCACAGTGTCTGGCCTAATGTTGGTTGAGTGGATGGATGATTGGACTTTATATAAAGGCACATGGGGAGTGTGCAGGAGGCAGCTGATCAATGTTTCTCTCTCATGGATGTTTCTAACTCTATCTTGCTCCCTTCCTCTCTGTAAAAAAATCAATAAAATGTATTTTTTTTTAAAAAGAATGGGAAGTGTCCTTATAGAATTCCAATGCTTCTGTATGGTCTTCCCCTGAAGTTACAGACAGGAGATGCTATTACAAACAGGAGATGCTAGCTAGCAGGACATCGCAGCTTTATGCTGCATTTACCCCTCTTTGCCTTGTGGGCTGCTTTTAAAGTTCACCCACTTAATGTGATGTATTTCACTGAATGGCTGATTTGTTGACTACATGTATAATGCATTATAATTTATGTTTCATTGTTCATTTCAGCAATCCAGTGGAAATGAGTGTACAATGGGAGATAAATCTTTTTTCAAGTTACAATGCATCTAAATTCTCTGATTCTTCATACTTTACACTCACACATGGGGCAGGCTTGTTTTTCTATGCCTATTTTACATGTACCACTAAGCAAGGTCCCAATGTGACCTGCTCAAGGTCACTTACGTTAGTGAATGGTGAACGGAATAAACTTGCAGTTTCTGGTTTATTCCTTGGGATGGAAGCAATGCACAAGTCACGTTGTTGAAATAGAGCTCAGCTTTAAGCATCCAGTGTGAACACTTGCTCCTTCCTTCCTTAAAAGAGATCAATTTATAACTTCAACAGGGGATTCTTTAAAAATGGGCCATTTTGTAAAGAGGTTAAGTGTGCACTTTAGAGTTGGACCAATGTGGGTTGGAAGGTGGCTGTGTGGCCCACTAGCTATGTAACCTTGGAAAGTTACCTAACGTGGATAGGCCTCAGTTATTTTACTGTAAAAAGAAGATTGATGGTAAAAATAGCAGACACCCACCGAATGCCTATTACGTGTCGGGAAGGTATAAAACTTCACATGCATTTCAATGAACCACCCTAACGAAGCTACATGGGAAAATGAAGTGGGGCAATTGGTGAGGATGGGCTTTGCCAAAAAAGAATGGCATGAGCTTAGATCTGAGCCAAGATTAGACCAACTCCAGAGCTGGTGCCTTTACCTCTTCCCCAGCATCTGCCTCATAGGGCTGTCCGACAACTAAATAAGGTCATGAATATGGTGTGTGTTTGACAGCTTGACTTATAAAGAACTTCATCAATATTAGGTGAACCATATGAAAATTCTTATATTTGATCATTTTTAACCTATAGAAATGGCCATTTCATATGGTTTAACATAGAAGAAGATAATGATGACAAATTATTAATGAACAGGTCAGCCAGGCTCCACAAATATTTTGTGAAAACCATTAAGGAATTTTCAAATGATGCATGTTTCAAATAAGCATTGTTTTTTCAAATGAGTCTCGGAACGCAGGTTTCCTCCCACTGCTCTTGTTGTGACACTAGGTCGGTGCTGTGTAATGACCAGGATATGAATGAGCTCCCCCTGAACTTCCCCGTGGACACTGTGAAGCTTCGCATTGAGAAGACAGTCATCCACACGATCCCCGCCGATGCCTTCTACTACCTGGTGGAGCTCCAGTACCTCTGGGTGACTTACAATTCTGTCTCCAGCCTTGAGGCCAGCAGCTTTTACAACCTGGGGCGGCTGCATGA